GTATATATATATTTTTGAGATGAAGTCTTGCTCTGTCACCCAGGTTGGAATGCAGTGGCGCAATCTTGGTTCACTGCAACCTCTGCTCCTGGGTTCAAGCAATTCTTGTGCTTCAGCCTCCCAAGTAGCTGGGACTACAGGCAACTGCCACCATCCAGCTAATTTTTATATTTTTAGTAGAGACAGGGCTTTGGTCAGGCTGGTCTCGGACTCCTGACCTTAGGTGATCTGCCCACCTCGGCCTCCCAAAGTGCTGGGATTACAGGCATGAGCCATCACGCTGAGCCTATATATTATTCTATTGTAAACAGATAAATGTAGTTTAATAGCGAGAGAAACACGCTCACCCGTCCAAACCCAAATAATAGACTCAGAGACACAAAGAACAGAGAAAGTGAGACTTTTTAATAGCGGTCTTGCAAGATCAGGTGTCTGGTAGACAGGCATACCTGGGGCAGCTACAGAAGGTAATTTATCTCCTAGCACACAAGTCCCTCCTCCAGTTCCTCATTGCTAAAGTACTATGGGAACAATCATCCTGGATGTCACCTAAGTTTCATTATCCTCCTTATAAGGTTATACCCTGTCACATTCCCCGCTTAAGTTTTGATTTCCCAATAATGAAACTTTCTTCCCTGTTATGGACTGACCTCTCCTCTACATTCTGTTCACTTATCGCGACCTTCTAGGTGCATGAGCTGTGTGGTTTGTTACATTCGTAGTGCTTAGATTTATAATGTCTTGAAAATGGCATTCAAAATGCCATTTAAATGTTTTCTCACAATAGGATATCTGTTAACTGCAAAGCTGATTCTACTATTTTTAATAAGACCAATACATTCTTCTGTGTATGTATTAAAATTTAGCAGAATTTGAGATTTATGTTGTGCTGAATGTGCTTGTGTAAATTCAAAGTATAAATTTAAAATTTGCTTTGGGGAGCACATTTCACTTGCTACAATATGTTCAGAGATCTGTGCCAAGAGAGTTATATTTCTGCCTCTTTTGATCATTTAGCTTCCTTTAGCCGTGGGTGCCTATTCCACAAATCAGGACATTTGCGGGACTTTTCAGAACCATGTGACTGGCAGGAGTCATTCTCTGGTCCTTCTCTTCCTTGAGGCAGGTGTACTCACCAATATTTTTAATATTGTGTTAAGACAATGATTCATCAGAAGCCTCAAAACCTACTTTTTATGCCTCTCTAACAGTTCTGTTATTGCGTTTTTATGCCCTGGTGTTCCTGTCATGTCTTGAAATGTCAAAGATCCCCAAACATTTACCTAGGATAAAGTTCTCAGAGTGCCTGAGGCAGGACACAGAGCTAGAGATTCAGCAACTTTGGCCATCTACTTGCTTATTTCAAATGCAGGAAGTTCCACCTGATATTCTTTCAAATCACTACTAGCTATGGAAACCTACTTTAGGTTATAAGACAGCAGAGGAGCGAGGTCAGCATGGTGGCCTGCAGGCCACATCTGACCCACCACCTACTTGTATACAGCCCATGAGCTAAGGATAGTTTTCACATTTTTAAATGGTCTGGAAAAAAGTCAAAAGAGTAATATTGTGCCACACATGAAATCTGTGTGACAATCAAATATCAGTGTGCCACATGAAGTTTTATTGGCACACAGCCACGCTCATTCACTTAACATATTGTTTCTGTTTTTGCAATACCAAGGCAGAGTAGAGTAGCAGCAACACTGAGCATATGTGGTCCCCAAAACCAAAAACATTGACTATCTGGTCATTTACAGAGAAAGTTTGTCAACCCCGGTATAGAATAGAGTGTTAACTTTTAAGGTAGTAGGATCACAAAGATTCTAGTAATTCCCATAGGGCAAAAGTTCACTGTTGTTCAATGGCAAATACAAAATGTAAATATAAATCCTTAACAAGAAGAAAGTACTGCTGTTTTGTCATTGTAGCTGTTGTTTTTAAAACAACAACAGAGATCATAAAGAATCATTTACCCGTGCTAGAAACAAAAGAATGTCCATGGTCATCATTTTCATGATGGATATAAAAGAAGATTGTCACACAGGCGACCCATAGCCCACTCAGGCCTTGTCTCTCAGTTTGCCTCTCTCCTAGCTGTTCTTTCAGTTTGCCTTCTACCTGGGTTTTGTTGACAGTGTTTGTAGGAGTATATTGCAACTTCCCCTATAAACATCTCTACATGACAAGGAACAAGTGCCTATACTCAAAGTTGTTCAGTTTTGTTTGTCTTTTTTTGAGACAGGGTCTCACTGTTGCCCAGCCTGGAATGCAGTGGTACAATCATAGCCCACTGCAGCTTTGAACTCATGGGCTTACATGATCCTCCTACCGGAGCCTCCTGAGTAGCTGGGACTACAGGTGTGCATCACTGCACCCTGGCTAATTGATTTTATTTTTGTGGAGACAGAGGTCTTGCTGTGTTTTCCAGCCTGGTCTTGAACTCCTGGCCTCAAGTGATTCTCCCACCTGGGTCTCCCCAAATGCTGACATTATAGGCTTGAGCCACCATACTCAGCCAAAACAAATTTCTTAAATAAGAGGAACTCGGATCCCTTCAACTACTTAAGCAGGATTTGCTTTGCCATTTCTATTAGTATAGAAATGAATAACCATTAAAGAAAAAAGAAAAGGAGGAAGGAAAGAAAAGATGAAAGAAAAACTAGAGAGAATGTTTTTAAGCGGGCCTTTTCTATTTCACAATTAAAGATGTCTATTAGTGGAACATACTTGTAGTGCTATTTGGGAACCAAGTGACTATAAACAGGATCTTAAGACCTTTGAATAAAATAGCACTTTATTCACTCAGAATTACTGTGTGTGTGTGTGTGCATGCATCTGTGGCTCTTGTAAATGTCAACTCGTCCTTAAAAGCTTGTCTGTCATCCGAGTGCTTCACTCTACATCAGTCCTCTTTGTGACCATAAGTTGGGTGTGGTGAGGGAAAGTAATACCATCCTCAAAATAGGAAATACTTGGCTGACTCTGGAAAATCTTTTCAACTCATCAGAATTTACCAGAGATGACATTTCTATCCTTACTGTAAAAGTCCCTGTGGAAAACAGCGATCTTTAATCTTTTGTGTTTTGTCTTCATCATAGAAAAGTTATTGTCCTAAAGATTACCATGCTTTTACTGAAGATACCATGTCATCTTAAAAAGCATTGTAGGAATCAATTACTTGGCTGAAGAATGTTGAATAAACACCTGTCGTAGTATTATCATAAGTGCTGTAGCAGATTCAGAAAATCAATAGATATGATCCTTACCCTTCAGGTGTTTGTGGTCAAATTGGGAAGGCAGAACTAAAACACACACACACACTCACACACACACGAAATATATAAGCATTTTTTTCACATGAAAGTTAAGTACAAACATAAAAAGAGTTCAGAGAAGACATAAATCCTTTTGAGAAGAGAGGAGATGAGAATTGAACCACTGGACACGGCCAAACACCATTGGGATTTCGAACCATTGAGACACACACAAAAAACTGAACCATTTTTTGCTGAGAAAAATGTACCCTTGTTCTTTCTTCCTCTTCATTGCCCCTTGCAGTAGAGAGGTATCAATGAGCATAATTAAACTTGTCTGTCTGTGGGTGCATATGATCTTGATAAATAGGATAAAGGGAGGAAGTGGACCTTCCTAGTGAACAGAATGGACTAAATTAAAGCAAGAAGCAAAGTGTTACCTAAGTCAGGGTCAGTGGTTCAAAAAGCAAAATAAGACTTGAGTAGGAGAAAAGACTATATATATACACACACACACACATACATATATGTGTATATGTATACATATATATGTGTGTGTGTGTGTATATATATTAGGGATATCCATGTCTAGCTATGGATATTTATATCAATATCCATAGCTAGATCAAGGCCAGACCAAAGAAGTCATTGAAAACAACTAGAGTAGATATTTCATGACTGAGGAAATAGAATGCAGGATATATTTGAATTTGGAAAAACTAAAGATTTTGCTGTGATTTAGACCATAAAGTGACCGAGTGTAAATTAGGTATAGGTAGTAAACATGGAGAACAACGGAGAAGCTGATGAGCATGTTAAAAAGAAAAAAATATAAAAGGAAGAATCAAAAACAAATGGTCTAGTGTGAAAGATTAGAAAGATGATTATAAATACTGGGATACTTGTTCTAGTTAGAAGGAGGACCAGTTTGGAGGCACGGAGATACCAGTTTCTGATGCATTGCGTTTGTGGAGGCAGAGGCATCTATAATTGGAACAATCCCAAGGCCATTTAGAGATCTGTGATTAGCTCACGTTAACTTAAAGATTGGAGGCATAGATTTAGAATACTATCTACGTTGTTTGATAGCTACTCCATTTAGTATATAAGCCCACTGACAAAGGAAAGAACAAGAAGTAATCAAAGATGAAACCTTGAAAGCCCTTATGTTTGCCAGAGTAGACAGGGGTCAAATATTTTGAAAAAATAGCAATGAGTGAAAGTATGACATAAACTAATGAAATAGAGCATGTCAAAGGGCTGGTCAAGAGGCAAACACACACACACACACACACACACACACACACACACAGTTCAAGGAAAGTGAGGACCCAAAAGACTTGGGTCCAAATGTGGTGCCTCATGCTTATAATCCCAAGATTTTGGGAGGCTGAGGCAGGAGGATCACTTAAGCTCAGGAGGTCAAGGCTGCAGTGAGCTATGATTGTGTCATTGCACTCCAGCCTAGGTGACAGAGCAAGACCCGGTCTGTAAAACAAACAAGGAAGGCAAAACAAGACTCGGGAGATGATAAGGTTATTGGTAACATTCCACAACCCAGTTTCAACTGAGTGTTGAGATACAAATTAGACTGCCCCAGACCTGCCTTACTATAAGCTTTTTATCCCTTCTGTAAAAATATCTATTAAAATTCGTTTTTAATTCTCTTATGATGATTGGTGTTTATTCCTTTATTTTCATGTTTTGTTTTGTTCTTCTTTTTTTTTAACTCTCTCCATCTAGGAATTTATCTTATTTCGCTACACAAAGTAGCCCATCTGCTGTTATTTTGAACCTGTGGGAAGCTCGTCATCAGCATGATGGTGATCTTGACTCCCTGGCCTGTGCCCTTGAAGAGATTGGGAGGACACACACGAAACTCTCAAACATTTCAGAATCCCAGCTTGATGAAGCCGACTTCAACTACAGCAGGCAAAATGGACTCTAGTCCACTTCCTCCCATGAGACAGAGTGATGGCCAGCTTGGGGACATTTGCTTTAAATGGGAAAGAAAGAGGCCACTTTCTGCCCAATGGCATTGGGGGAATTCAGCCTTCATTTACAATCAGTGAGACTCCCCTGTGGAAGAAACTAAATTCTATATAGGTAAAACATGTTAATAGGGAAAAGTACAAGCTCTCTTACATATAAGAGGGCTCTATGATCTCCTTGGAATCCACGTTTGGGTTAACTCCTCAGATTTGTAGTGGCAAGGATGAAAGTGAGAGCAGAAGTAGCTGTGGGAAAAGATGAGCTACAATAATGCTGGGAAGGCAGAGATTAAGTGCATGTTTTGAAACAGGTTTTTAATGATGTGCCCCAAAAGGCCAGCTGATTCTGGTACTAGATTGTCAGAGTTTTCTACCAACTGGCATCTGTGATGTCAGAAATCATTATAAAACTGGCTTATAGACGTGAAACAGGGTTGCCAACCCAATTGTATGACTTCAACAACGTCAAAGAGGGCATTGAATTTAGAATCTGAGCACATCACACCAGCACCAGCTCCCTGTCTCTTCTAGCCACTTAATGGAGACAAAATGGAGAGGTAAGACAGACCACAAACTAGTTCTTATAGTGTACTCCACCTTTTACTTTTTTCCTGAGACAAATCTACCCTTATTCTTTCTTCCTCTTCCTTACCTCTTGCAGTAGAGAGGTATTAAGGAGCATAATTAAACTTGTCAATATGGAAAGTTGTTTTTTCTAACGCAACAAAGCGGCACCATCTCTATTCCCATCTAAGCTACTCAAATTGCTGAGTGCTATTAGAACACAGTTTATTACATGGATATGGAGACAGGAGAGATTAAAGCAGATTCAAATACACGTGAACTGCAGATGTCATAGGCCTCAAATCAGCTATAATTCCAGGAGGCATGTGTTGATCTAGTTCTCTAGCATTGTTGTTACAAGAAAATGAGTTCGACTGTATTTTTCAATCCAGATTCTTGAAATTGTCTAACATGTTGGTACTATGTCATCACAGAATCTCTCAGTAAGGCTATATGTGATCCTCATTTTACCTCTTGGGAAATTAGCAGATAGTCTTTGCTCTAAATGATATCTGAGTAAATAGACTTGAGGAATACCTCTACACAGTGTCCCTGAAACCACATGCATTGTTCAGGGAGCCTTCACGCGATGACTATTCAGTCTCCCTGAATATGCTTTCTCTATAGAACCATTAACATATGGCTATTGCTCTATGATTTTTTTTTATATTAGTAGGCAGTGATATTGTGGAGGATGGAAATCCACAGATAATTCATGACCCTCATCTTATCACTTTACTCCATCTTTTTATCCTATTAAATCATTTGTGACAAGATGTCCTGGTAGACTAAAGATAAACAGATTTGTTCTTGCTCATCTTCTGGTGGATATTTTAATTTGCTGTTCACAATCAGGACAACCAAAGTCAAGGACCCAGACAAACCACAAGGCAGCTAGTCAGCTACTTAGAGTTGGCTACATTCAAATAAAAAGTAATCAGGGAATGGGGGAGGTGGGGAGTACTTGGCAGTTGGGATATGATCCATTTTTTTAAAACAACTTTTTTGTAGATCCCTTGTAAAAAATAATAATAATGTTGTGAATCTCCATGCCACGTGAAAAAGGCCTAAAGATGAGTTGAATTTAGGGTACCATGAGTAAGGCATGGAAGAACTGTTGAATGTGTGGTATATGTGGTCCCCTATACTAGATAGAAGGCTTTGCTACATGTAATTCAAAAGCATCTTGCTTTTCTCAGGAACCAAAGGCTTATGATATAGAACAAAGAAATCATCTTAGAACTGTCAAGCATATTTTCACAATACCATATCAAGATCGGGAAAACACTCTTTTGCTAGTGTGCTTAACTTATTTATTTCTTCTAGGAAACAATAGATAAACAGCATGAAAATGTAAATCATCTGACATCACTGATAGAATTTCTGAAAGAGAGAGTAGATGGTCAACCAGTCACAAGTTGGTTGGCATGGGGTGGTGTGCAGAGGAAATCTGCATTCACTGTTGAGTAAAAACTTGTAGAAAGCACATTATAGAGCTTATGTTAGAATCCATCTTGGAGGATTTTTGTTTTAAACCATCCTAAGCATTTTCCCTCTTCCCTTCTAATTGGAGTTATAATTGTTTCATCTACTCTGTGAATCTACACAGGTCTTTTTGGTTTTTTTTGTTTTTTTTTTAAGATGTTTGATACATTTTAAGTATTTTTAAATAGATGAAAAATTTAAATGATTTTCCCTCAAATCTATCTAGATTACTTTAGGATGAGACGAGATTGTTGTCAATCCCTGAATGTCTGGAGTTCCCTCCCATGGATTTTTTTTTTTTTTTTCCTTTGGCCTGGGTTTTATAAACACACTTGAACATCATATCATATAGGATAACAAAGGAAGAAGTTAACATAATTCACCTCAGACTTCACCCTACAGTTCAATCAAATTCGTCCTTCAGCCCATTTTGTTTCTTCTTTATGTTTCTCTTTTACTTATTTCTGCTAGGATCCTACATAGGATTTCTATAAAAATGTGTGAAATTCTGTGGTCACTGCATGTCAGGATTGCGCAGTATGTTACAATAGAATTTCAAAGAGAACCCATGTTTGTGAGATTTACAAACCAAGGTGTGGGGGAGGAGGTGGAATTGCGGATCAGATAAAAAGTTAGCTTACACTTGAACTCAGTTATTCACTGTGACCTAAATTTAGTCTTATTATAATATGTGCCCGTCACAACACAAATGCCCCTCTTAAAAGACATTTGCTCATCTATCCAAGGACTTAATTTGGAAATTTTACTGTCCTATTGCAAAATGAAACAAAATTAAAAGTGGCCTCGAGTACTTGGTAAGTTACTTAAAATTTTTACAAAAATATTCCACTCAATGCCAAGTCTTTTTCAGTCCTCAAAGGCATTTAAGTCTAATAGTCATGCTTTAAATATGGCTTTAAATTATGCCACCAAAATGGTATACTTCACAACTTCACCAGACTGTAGCATCATAAAGTTAATTTACAGTTTTTACAACATTGTTTGTACATTCTTACTGGTTTACATTAAAATCCTTTAACCCAAAAGGGAGCTTGCTCTATGGATTTAAATGCAGACTTCATTTACCAGTGCAGGAAGTCTCATAAAACTCAGATGTATGCCCACAAAAATTTTATTGGCCTTTTTGTAAGAGATGAAAAAGAATTGACACAGTTCTCTTTAAAGAGAAGAACTTTTTTATTATTATTTTTATCTCCAACTACAGGTGGTGTCTTTTGCCGAGGTCTCTATATTTTTCTTTCAATTGTCTTTGGGAGGGGATATTAAGTCAAATCACTAAAACAGGGTTCTCTTTGGATTAAAAGTTCTGGATTTATTGCAACTATTTACCTTGAGAAACATTCTCAGCATCAGAATTGATAAACAAATGTAGATGATTAAAATAGGATAATTGGTTTTAGATAGTATTTTCTACTTGCCAAACTTCTGGCAAATTTATCTGTGAATTTCAAAATGTTTTAAAATCTCTTGATACGCTTTTGTTTTTCCTTCGAGCCATTTTCTCTTCAATTTCTTAGTCCCTCTGCCCTCTGTAAGTGTGTTGAGTGATATAGCTATCAGACGTGTTGAAGGCAAAGTTCTAGCAGAGGTCTTTGTTCCAGCTCTGTAAAGGTCACAGGAATCGTGAAGGAGCTGAGAAATCTTCCTCTCTGGCCCACTGTCTGTGGCCCATTTTCATTGTTTCCTCATGAAACATTGCAGAGTTCGAATCCTCAGTAACTCTCATTGACTGGACTAGAGGTGATGGCCACAGCAAATGGGAGAGCAAAATGTTGGCCTACAGAGAATGACACAATTGTATTCGCCTTTGGTGTTAGTTGCCATAGCGCTGTATTTGAAAATTGATGCTTTAGCCAAAAGCTGAATGGCCACCGTTTCCGTAGTTTCCACTGTTTTGTCTGCATAGAATTTTCCTGAACTACAAGCAAAAATGTATTTTGTCCAATGTCACAAAAGTGAAAATGTTACTAATCTTAGACGTGTTGCATATTTTGTGTTTTTACGTTCCAAACTCTTTCAAAAGCTGCCGTTACAAAGCTGTTTGGCTGTATTGACAGCATGTGGTGTTTTTGCAAAAGCAATTCTAGGAGAGCCAGTGTCTACCATGAACTCCTCACATCCCCACTCCAGGGTCATTCATGACATCAAAATGGCAACTTGTACACTGTAATTCTTCGAAAAGTAACAGGGGATGGAAATCAGACCTGGCCGTTAGTCACTAGTGTGTAGTACCGTGATCTGAAGTAGGAAATTTAACTCACATAGAATAATTGTGGTTTTTGAAGCAGCTACTCATTGCTTTTTCCTTTTGCTGTGAAGATCATGGATTGGGAATGTCCTCATTGGGTGGACCTAAGGCAGTAACATTTAAACTTCATGTCCTAGCACCCGCCCTCCATCCGACCCAAAGATAAAAAAGGCAGAAAGCTTCATGGTTACATCTAAGCTTAAAAATTTCCTTCCCCACTACTAATATTGAGTTCAGCGGGCTCCATCTTATTTATTTTTCAAAAAGGTTATAGCTTTGAATTATAGACTATATTACTAAATTTGGTAAGGTAGTTCTTTGCATGAATGGGAATGCGTGTCAAAATACTTTCACAAAAGGCATGATTACAATGGAAATGCTCTTTTGCCTCCAGTTTTGCTAACCCTAAAAAGTATTTAACTAATTTCAAGCACTGTTTACACTCAAATCCCAACATTGGCCAAATTATGTAATTCTCTTAAATTTTCACATATGTAGGAGGAAATTTAACTATGGTTCTGGTGAATCATAGAAAGGAGAGACAATATTTGAGGGGAGTTTGTCAGCAGAATATCATGCCTTATGACCCCATTACTGAAACACAGACATTACAATCAGAACTAGACCTAATAATTCCAATATCCCTCCATTAGCTAGTTCCAATGATGCTGAGAGACAGAGCACCCTGTGCCAGGTGTCAGGAATATAAGCCTCAGCAGAGGGTAACTGAAAACTTTCAATCAGAAACACCCTCGAAGGTTTATGCTAGATTATGTAGGTCACTTCACTCCCATTCAAAACTTTTCTATACAAAGGTGGGAAAGCACTCAGAATCTGCGAATTTTCTGGTTGGAAAAACAATGTTCTCCTTTTCCAAATTGGAATAAAGACTCAGAATTACCCATTCTTCATAATGATGTCTGATTGGTACATGCACTCCAGGAAGTCTCAACCTAGAAACGTTGCCAACCTAAGCATTTAGAGGAAAACTGGCTCATCTTCTGACCCAAACTCAAAACATATGAGTACTTGCATACCTCCATTTCTGCATGGAAGATGTTAAAACAGATTTCACTTTGTTCCGTTTATTTTGGGAAGGTGCGTGGGGGTGTTCTTTCAAGTGATTCACATCTCAAACCCATACCACTCTCAACTTTTATTTGATGTGTTCAAAGCCAAAAAATAAAATAAAACAAAATAAAGCAGGGCTGAACACTTAATTTGACATGAAGCTGAAGGAGTGAGCAAGCCAGAGGAGAGAGGTTGAATGAAGCATAGCCTTGGCTTCATACCACACTTTTTGTGCCTTGTATTATCAATGTAAATTCTGAATGTTGTACAGTAACTACTTGGATGGACTTCTTAGAAAAGGCTGCACTGGCTTCTTTTTCAGCACATGTACATATCTATAAATATATATACATATATATTTGGTAATGCCAAACAGCTGTGTTATATTGTATTGAACAAAATGGATGGTTTGGATGTTTTATGTAGAGTTTGCAAAAAAAAACAAAAACAACTGGATGGTTACAGACTTTTCGAGATAAATGTACAGACGTAAATTACTGCATATCAGTTATTTATGAATAAAGAGTCTTTTATTGACATTTTAGGATACTACGTGAGTGGCACTTTGAAATCTCGATGAGGATGAGATTTGTATACCTCCTACCAATGTCCTAGCGGGAGTTGGAATGCTCTCCGAAAGGACAATTTCCAAATACCTGTTAACATATGGAACAAAATTTCTTGCTCAAGCCTTGAGAGCGAGGCAGTGTTGTGAGGCTACTGGAAACAAGAAGATTGTCTTCTAACATCCCCACCCCAGTACATACACATACACACACACTTCCTTAGGATATAGTTTTATAGAATCCAAGGTCATCATAGGCATACTGTAACTGGAATACTGGAATACCTATCACCTTATTCCTCAAAATGCTTGGGCTATTTTTCCAGACTGTATAGAACATTTTCTGCCCTTCTGTGGGAAAATGTTAATAGGTACATTGTTGTACATTGCAAATACATGTGGCTGATTAAACCTGTTTTAAGTGATTTTAAAATGCTGAGAGCTCCCCCAAATTTACTTATAACTACTTAGGCCAGAGCTAATTGAACCAGAATGTTCCACCCAAAGATGGCTTCTGGTCTATTTAAACTAGTTGGTTATAATTTTTTCAAGCTTAGAGAACAGGTCAGAGCCAGTTGAACCAGAATGATCCACCCAAAGATGGCTTCTGGTCTGTTTAGTTGGTTATAATTTTTTAAAAAGGTCAAGAGTTGATTTAAACCAGTTTTTTAAAAAATACCATTTCCATATAAAGACAACATTTCTTTTTTCAAATTAAGTTTTAAAAGCTATGAGGTAAAATGAAATATTCTCTACACTAAGTTTTTGAAAACCTTTATGTATATGATACATATATGTAAAGAAGCCATGGCGCATGCCTGTAATCCCAGCACTTTGGGAGGCCAAGGCAGGCAGATCACTTGAGGTCAAGAGTTCAAGACCAACCTGGCCAACATGGTGAAGCCTCATCTCTACTAAAAAAAACACAAAAATTAGCTGGCTGTGGTGGCACATGCCTATAATCCCAGCTACTTGAGAGGCTGAAGCAGGAGAATCGCCTGACCCAGGAGGCAGAGGCTGCAGTGAGGCAAGATCACGCCACTGCACTGCAGCCTGAGTGACAGAGTGAGACTCCGTCTCAGAAAAGAAAACATTTATGTATATGATAGATCTGAAGGAGGGGAGTCTATGCAGCACTTTCTAAGCCCTGTTGACCATGTAATTCTTTTTCTTATGGGACTACTAGGGACAGATAAGAATATTTACAAAGAGGCTGCATTTAGTTCCAACAGTTCTTTCTGACCACTTTAAATTAGGCAGAGCTTTGATGCTAATTAAAATATATTTAATCTACTGGCCTAATGAAAATTAGTTGAAATTAACTTAAACGAGGTAACTCAGTTATAGTTATGCAAAACCAGACCCCAAATCTCAGAATTATTTGAATAGTTAGAGCAAGTAAATCCAATTTGAGTTCCTCAAAATAGATTTTAACTAGAAGAATGATGTGACAAGCATAAAGATCTGGATGTAACTAGTTCATCTGGATGAAAACGTAACAGATTGGCTTGAACCTGTAATAAACTATTCAAAAAAAAAATGTATCTTCATTTAAAAGCTGCTTTATTGAGTTAGGAACTAATTCTGAATGGATTAAGTTAGTTTGGATGAATTTATGCTTTTTTTATATAGCGAACATTTGTTAGAATTTGATTTTATTCTGACAGAGGTTAACTCATTCACTCAAAAAATAGTTATTTAGCATTTTCTCCATGATAGCAGAGTCCAGGTTCAAGTCTTGACTCAATCATTTTGCACTTGATGTCAGGCAAAATGATTTCTGCTTCATTTATAATATAGGGATAAGAAGAGAATTGTATATTCTCCCCGAAGTCTAAACATTACATGAAAGGGTTCATGTAAAGCCATTAGCATACTCCATGGTCCTTAGTAAACAGTCAGTGAGGGTTTACTTTCATCTTATTTTAGAGAGGCGATATGCATAGTAGTTAGCAGAGTGAGCTTGCAAGCAGATAGGCTTGGATGGGAATCCTGAGTCCCCACTTTGGATTTGTGACCTTGGCCAAGAGACTATCTCTGAAAGATGACAATCATATCCAGCTCACAGGGCATAAAGTAAGTGTTCAAGAACTGTTTTAACCATAAACACATCTACAACTGTTTCTGGCTAGTTTTGCTTCTGAACAACAATACATCCTGGAGTATTCGTTATATACACATAGTGAGGTTACAGCAGGACTAATAGTGTACTCAATGTTAGTATCTTTCTGATACCTAAAATTTATTTAAGAAAAAAAAATGTCTTACTGACCCTGAATTAAGTGAAATGCAACTTATTTTCTAATGTAAAGGTTAACGCTTCATAAAGTGAGTTAAAAATACCCTAGTAAGGTCCCATATTTTCATACCACATAGAATGATTTTAGGAAAGAACTTAGAGTTGATGATGAGGCAAATGCATGTTTAAGGCATATCTAAGACAAATCACCTTTTGTCTAAACGTTAGTGTTCCTGAATAAAGTAAGTGCTCCACCAATGAGGTGATCCATTCTCTGGTTTTCAGATGACACCAGGGCCTTAAAACCATGAGTTTTTGCACAAATTAAACATTAAAGAGTTACGCAAGCACTATCATCTGCTGTGTGCTAGATCTCTCTGCTACAATCAGACATTCACAATTAGGACATTAACCCAGCTTTCAAGAAGCTCACTATCTCCAACTCAAGAGATTATTATACCATCCAATAGAAAGTGTTAGGAAAAAGGAAAGCAGCACTGTTAAGATAAAACAAAGGAGGAACACTGAAACCCAATTGTGTTGTGTGAGGGAAAGTTCCATGGAGAAGCTGCCATTGAGCTAAGACCTAAAGGTGGTCTATTAATAAAGTGACTTCTAGAATAACAGTGTATAACAAACCCTAGAATTTGTGGCTTAAAATGACACCCATATATTATTCACATAAATGTATGGCTCAGCTGGGAGCTAAACCTGGCATGGTTCACCTCAATTGGATTCAGGCATGTGTCTACAATTAATTGAAAGATTGAGCTGGCCTAGTTCTTCCAGTGTAGGATCCTTCCACATTTGGGGCCTTGCTTAGGACAATAGGACGGACTACACTCTGCTCCTTGTGCCTCATGGTCCAATAGGTTAGGCTGGACGTGTTCTCATGGTAAAGGCAGAAAAAGAGATGTGTGAAGTCTCTTGTGAAGCCTACACTTGGAATATCATCATTTCTTTTTTGCAATATTCTAATGGCTAACATAACCCACAAGACCTGCCCATTCAAGGGATAAGGAAATATAATCCACTTCTAGATGAGAGTTGCTGCAAAATCACATTGTAAAGGGTGTGGATACATGAAGGGATGGAGATCTGGGACCATGGTTTCAATTTCTCCATCAGAGATGAGTGAAAATTTGTCAGACAAAAAATAAAAGAGGAAGAACATTCAAAGAGAAAGATTAGCAATGGCAATTAATAAGGGTTTTATTTAAGAGAGGCAGCCAGACTATTGTTATAACTCTAGTCCTTAAAACCCTGAGTCTTCTACAGTAGCACTCCCCAAACCTCTCTTGTTATTAGGTTCTGATCCCATGATTAACCATATTTAGAAAACGATGAGTTAATTTCATTTACAGAGGTTTATTTATTATGCAGTCTCTCAAAGGTTTTAACACAATAATGGTAGTTATTTTCAGTGCAGTCAATATGCTAGACACTTTATATGCATTCACTTATTTTAATCCCCTAGCAATCACATGAAGGCAGTACAATTATTGCTCATATTTTGTAAATGGAGAAACTGAGGAAAAGAGAAGTTAATGTGCATTTTTAATCACTCCACTGCAGCTATTTTAATCACGATTTTAATTTAATATTTTGAAATCAGCATATTTTAATCACTCCACTGCAGTCATTGCAATTTTGCTCTAAGCTCAGAGCAAATGTTTGTAGCATTTTCCAAGTATTTATCATTGCCTAACTCTTACTTAATGAGCTGTAGTAACATCTCAAAGTTCACATTTTGGTGTATATTTTCTCTAAAGATATATGAGATAAAGTGTGTGCTCCATGCTGAATTAATTTAGTCCAGATTTTCTTACATTTCTGTTCTCTCATCTATCCACCCATCTCTCTGCAATTAAGAAAATTTCATAGTTTTAAACAATAATTCTTGCCTGTGAATGCTTGATTTAACCATGTTTCTCTGTAACTCATTAGAAATACCTCCTTAAAACTGTAAGAATTAGTTATATGTTTGCTAAACCTTATAACGACTACTTCTTTAAAAAGTTGGAGGCATGTTTATAATCAATTAAGTAACTTGTGTCAAGTCATTGCAATTTTGCTGTAAGCTCAGAGCAAAATTCAATGTCATTTCTTTCAAAGGAATGTTCGGTGTCCAGCCATTGGTAAGATGCTCTGCAGCTAAGTGAGAAAAGCCTGAAATAGGAATGAGAAGGCATGTGTTCTAATCTCAGCTCTCATGCCTACCAGGAGAGTCACAGACAATTCATTTTATTTTTTGAGTCTCGGTTTGGATTATGAATATCCTGCCACATTTCCCATATTTGGCTACAGCAGGGGTCAAATGAAATACCACACGTAAGGGGGAAAAAAGCTTTGTATTCTAGTAAGTGCTATGCAGGTACGTGTTTTAACAGAATGGGAATCGTCTACTGACTGTCAAAGACTAAACAAAAGACTAGAAATTAATTATTTTAGAGCAATTTGTTAGAAATACACATAAAAATTTTAAATGACCATGACTTGTTCCTTCATCTCCAATCCCTAGGCTGAATAATTTAGCTAGAATAGCCAGAGAAACAAGTACTCTCTTCTTCTAGTATCATATCTTTAAAAATTCAAAGACTGAAAAAGATTATCAATATGTGTTTGTGGTTAGCCATGTCCTAAGTGAAAAATTATACAAAATCCTAAAGTCAACTACATATTTGTTTTTATCACTGAAAGAGATAAAAGTTAACACTTCTTACTCTAGGCTTTTATGGGCCCAAA